AGGCAATGTATAGTGCAGGTCCTCTCCTGATCACACTACGGGTGAATGAGGACGGGCTGCTCCGAATGCTGTAGTCGGAAGGCCCCCGAAGGCAGGGCACGCTGCTGGCTCTTGCTGCAGTGTTTCCCCCCTCAGTGTTGTGAGGAGGGCAGCGCACAGCTCTTCAAACATAGAAGGGATCAAATCTTCAAATCCCCTGGAAATGTCATCCACGTTTGAGGAAATGTCAGTAGAGCTGAGAACACACGCAAACACACATCGACCGGAGCGTACGCACACATCGACGGGGACTCGCGCCCGACGCCGCGGCTAGAGAAGCAACGTGATATAAGGCAGTCGTGTCCTGTGGGTGAAATCAGCTTCATCGCCTTCATTTTTGCAAATCTTAAGGAAGACTCATTGTATGCTGTGTGAGGTAGTCATTCCCAATAATGCTGAAGTGTAGCATTTTCCCGTCAAATGATGCAACACAATAGTAATTTAACTACAATTGGAATTGGCACCAGATCAAGAAACTGAGGAAAACTTTGATAACTTATTGCTTAAAAGTCTTTGAAAAGTCTGTGCTCAGTTTTAGTTAATTCTCCAGCTGGTTGTAAAGGAGTATCTCATAATTTCTCTGGGAAACAATGATTTAGTTTCTGGTCTCCCTCCATCCCTTGTTCCCATAAAATAGATTGAACACTATGTGATAATTAATTTGATATCAAAAGTCCTCGTATGTAGATCCTTAGTTGCCTCAGGTGATCTCATCTGCAGCCACTGACATCATCCCCTGTTCATATTGATCTCTCCTCACTCCCGCTGACTAACTTATCGACATCCTCAAGTGTATATCCTGTCTAGACTGTCAGCAGCGTTTATGGATGGCCCTGCCCCTGGCGACACACACACACACACACGCATGCCCACCATCCCTGCTTATTGATGTATCCTTTTGCTTGGCCCCGTCCTCCTCCTTAATGAATCTGGTAGGTGTTGAACTGCAGATGTTGTTCAGGGCTCAAGTATCGACTGGCGTGGCTGTGATGAAAGAGCTTGTCCCTGCAGAGACCTCGGTTAGGTCACAGTGTGTGTGTGTGTGTGTGTGTGAGAGGGAGAAAGAGAGTAATTGTCGAAAGGTGCATGTGTTTTTGAGTGATGCGCACATGTGTCGCCCCAACACTCCCCGTGTGTCGCTACTCGGAAGTGATACCGAGGCCAGAACATTGTGTGTGCTTATGTGCAAGAGGGTGTCGATGCTTTTTCAAGAGGTTGACAGGTGATATGTGGGTTGAGACAGGCAAATGACTAGAGATGCCGTGACCGTCTTGGCTGACAAGTCTCGTTTTCTGAGGCTATCATACAGGCATGTACATTTTCGCTGTGAAAGCCTGCAGACCCTCTCGACTGTTTATTTTGCGGCCTCCTATCAAGATCTGCACTCGGCTACTAATGATCCTTTGAGGGCATTTGATCTTCCGCGCCGCTGTGTGATTTCTGGTGGCGGGCTCTCGCCATGTCCTGCGACATCATCCATTACCAACTTCCTCATTACAGATTATAGGAGATAATGCTGAACTGAGGAATTAACCTCAATTAGTGGTACCTCTGTAGATCTTTCTCATTTCACCTCCTGACTCCTGCTCCGCATCTTAAATGTCCCTCTTCTATTCCTGCTCTATTCAGAGGACATATATCAACATGAGTGCATGTAAAATCAGGCACAGCTCTTGGTATAGTTTTATGTTATGCAATGACATATAAAAAAAAAATCTTTCTTTTAGCAATGCTTGCTGCATCGGTGGGTTGTCTGATCAAGATTTAACTATACCAGACACATTACTACAAAACTGTACTGTGACCCCTTGATAAAGAATCCTACTCTGACCAATGAAAACCAAGCTCTTTGCCTTGTTAACATATCTATATGGTGTTTTTACATCTGGGAACACTATGACTGAGCATTTCTGCCTTGAAACTGCAATAACCGTCTCAAAAGCACAGATTCAGACAATCAAGTCATTCACAAGCAACAGTCCTATTTGATAATGTTGTGGGTTTCCGTGTCATTATTCTACTTTAGAATCTGTTTCTGGTTTGGACATCCATCCATCCATTGTCTATACACCGCTTAATCCTCATTAGGGTCGCGGGGGGCTGGAGCCTATCCCAGCTGACTTGGGGCGAAGGCAAGGGACACCCTGGACGGGTCGCCAGTCTATCGCAGGGCTACACTTAGAGACAGACAACCAAGCACACTCACATTCACACCTACGGACAATTTAGAATCACCAATTAACCTCAACATGTTTTTGGACTGTGTGGGAGGAAGCCGGAGAACCCGGAGAGAACCCACGCTGCACGGGGAGAACATGCAAACTCCACGCAGAAAGATTCCGGTGCCCCCACCGGGACACGAACCGGCAACCTTCTTGCTGCGAGGCAACAGTGCTAACAGCTGCGCCACCCTACAGCCCTGGTTTGGACATGTATGACTGAATTATTCTAATATTCCAATTTGCATATTGGTAAGAGTAGTTGTCGGTGAGCTGGTGTGCTTAAGCTGCACAGAGTATTGGAGGGGAAAGAGGTGGGGACTTTGTAGATCAACCCATTCTCGAGGAAGAAAACTTGCATTTGAGCCATTTAAGGCACAGAGGGATTAATAATGTTGGGGAAACTTTCAAACATGCGATTCCTGATACATGGAAATTAGTTCATAGCGTCTAAATCAATGACTGAGAGGGACTTGCCGATGTTTTTGCCAATTGCCAGTTAATGGTGAGGCCGCTCTTTAGTAGACATTTGTTATTTTGGTAAATTTTTAGCAAAATCTGCCTGGACTTCCATCATCATGTTTGTCCAACGCCTTGGCAATGACCGAAGACCTGCAAAACTAATGTCATCACCACAATCCTTTTGTAGGTATGTGTGAACAAACCTGTGAGGAGCATAAACGTAGCAGTGACCGTTGTCTAAATGACAGAATGCCGTCCTTTTACCAGGTAAACGAAGCCAGCAATGTCAGGTATCCCGTGTTTGAAAAGGGCTTTAATCACTAACTACAGGTATTAAATGGTTGTGCCAGATACAACACTCTGTTGTGCAAACATGACATTTCACAAATAATTATACCCCTTCCCGGTTATTTAGATCGAAATGAGTCATTCGAGAGCGACTGTGGCATAAGCTAAATGTGCACCTTCAAATCTTCCAGCTTGTTCTTTAAGGGCAGTATTGTTGTTAGTTTTTACTCCCCGCCATCTGTTTTTAGTTCGAGGAGAGAGGCAGCAATATCTGAGTAATTAAATTCTATAAGCTGATGTCTCGGATTTGACGGAGTTTGACAGTTTAGACACTGTATTCCTATCCTTCACTGCTTAACATCCACTTAGGGGAAGTTATAAAGAAGCCTCTCACCTGGCACTGGAAAAAAAAAGAAAGAGGAAGAAAGACAGTTAAGCGGCTGAAAGAGAGAGCGAGGTGCCGAAAAGGTTAGGAAATCGTTAGGTATGTTTGTTGTGTATGTTTTCTGGAGTAGAGGTAATCCCCAGGCTCAGACATGACTATTTGCCTGCAAGTTTGTTGTTCCACACACCTGACGTGTAGGGGATGTAGACAGAGGAGGCACACCCAACGCGTCTGATGAGCAGGATAAGATAAGCAGTTAAACTCAATAAAGCAAAGAAGCGAGCATGCCCAGTGACATTCCACACAGACAAAACACAATCGCACGAGAATCCCAATACTTCAGTGGCATAGACATTAGTGCGTAGGAGAGCCGGATCGTTAGCTCGAACAAAGGGCGAGTTTATTGTTAAGTGAGGTCTGTTTAAATGGGTTTTAACTGCTGGCGTGGCAGAGGAAGCTGTCTGGGCTTGAAGAGAGGGCAGGTGGGCAGGTCTGAGAGAAAGAGAGACGGTTGAAAAAAAAAATCCCAACCAGAAAGTCCCTCTGACCAGTAGGTGAATTTACATATGGACCAACAGCCAAAACATGTGGCGGTTTCTGTGTCATAGCCACTGTGGTGGTTTTGCCCCGCTCGGTCTGCAACGAAGCAGCGACACACTGTGATGCTCATAAACACCTGCATGTGTGTGTGAGTGAGTGTAACTAAACAGACACGCATATGTACACACACACACACACACACTCAGAAAAAAAAAGCACTAACTACTTCCCCCCTGGCTCCTCATGAGAAGTCATTAGGAATGTGTCTGTGTGTTTTATTTTTAGCAGTGTGTGTTTAGGAGGGGTAGTGGAGTCTCGTCAGTCTTCAGGGCCCTCCTCTGCTCTGTCGCTCTGTGTCTCTGTCTCCAGCTGAGAGCTATGTATATTTCATAAGCCCAGGGTGCCTTTTTGTCTTAAGATGCGCTGCACCTCCCCTGCCTGTCTCTCTGCTGCTCGTCAATGGAGGGAGCCATCACAGCCTTTTTTTTTTTTTTTTTATAGTCTCCCCCACTCCTCTCTCTTACTCTCTCTCCTCGTTGACAGCCACCCTCTGCTTCTCCCTCTGCTTTTCATGGTCAGCTTGTCTCTCTCCTGAAGTCTCATCCCTCTTTCCTCTTTTCAGCTGTGGAAGGGAGCAGCGTAGAGCACATCCAAACAGACTTGGTCTGTCAGGAAAAGTCTTTCTCCCTCTCTGTCTCTCTCTGTCTTTGATTCTGTCTCTCTGTCTGTTTTGCAGCTCTGTCAGTTCAGGGAAGGGACACTTCTTCACCCAGAGCCGCATCCCCTTTAGTTGTTGTCTTTTTATAGCCGAAATCTGAGTGCTTGTGACAGCAGCTAAAAATGGTTGCGCCAGTGACAAAATAGATCTGCAGTTAATTGCTATATTTGCAACATCAGTCTGTTTCCATCGCTGAGAGTTGATCATTGTGCCAATATCGCTGTTCTGGCCCCTATAAACAGCACCTCTTAGTATGGATTTAGCAGAATCTTGAGTTGTTCACGGTTAATCTATTGGATGTATTTTATTTCTGGATACCCAATTAACCTGGTGCATTTATATCTTTCAGGCTGTGATTGAGGGTGCAGCTGGAACCAGTAAGGAGGCCGACTCGGGTTCGGGGCCCTCACAACCTGCAGGCGACCACACGCCTTCTCGCCCAGTGACTCTGGAGTCAGAGAGAGCTGACCGGCCACTTTCCAGTGAGTATTGCGCTCCTTGTTGTCACTGTTTACACTTTTTTTCCTGCCTTTTCTTTTACGTTTATACAACTTGACTGTATGTTCTATAGCATTACAGCATGAGATCCTCTGAGATCAGTACAGACCATTGCAATTAAGCTTCCTTTTGCTATTCTCTAACCACCAGCAGCATTATCTGACTTAATTACCATGTTCAACATTGCATTTCCTTATGTTGTCGCTGTGTGTGGCCACAGCTCTGTGAGAGAGCGAGACTTTCCCTCAGAATGTTAATATTCTGGTTTAGCTTGCTTTAGTCAACTAGAATGAACCACATCCTTAGAATATGTCTGTCTTCACTTAGCGGGCATCTTATCTCAGCATCCTTTTTCCTGTGCGAGGTGTCCTCCTGACCCTGCTGTGTGGCAACACTGGAAATAGTGAGACCCCTGGAGTGAATGAGATGAGGTCCGAGGCAGCACTAACACTCAAACGGAAAAGTGACAAAAATGGCTTTTGATTTCTTCTTTCAGGCCTGTGCTGTCATGTCTTCTGACACCTCGGCCTCTTGTAACTCCTCGACCACTCTCCCATGTCTCTGTGTACTCCTATCAGTACCTCCTCCAGCAAACTAGCATGAACTCTTAGTTTTCTGTCTCGCTGGATCACAACAACCACCTTCTGCTGGGTGAGACTGACGGAGATAATGACGGTTAGCTTTTAATTATCAATAATGCAAACCCAATCTGCAATTAAACAAACTACACACAAAGACTCACAGATGCACATCCTTGCACACCATATCTTTGTTGTCTGGAGACTCTTGTATTAAATCTGAAGTTTCCGCTTTGGGATGCACTGATTAAATGAGTTTTTAAATAAACCAGAGAGTAGCAGATTATAGATCTGTTTTGCATTAATTCACATCTGGTTCATTCTTTTTTAGCAGTCGTGTTGAACTTTTTCAGAAGTGTGACCTCCTCTTTGGGGATGGCGACTCTGGATGCGGGGGTCAAGAGGATGCATTGACAAAGTGATGCAGGGAAATGAGGTGGAAGATGTCATGATGAAGCAGGCACAGACACTAAAAATTGCGACTGTGTCTGTGTGTGTCCCGAGGGACGCCGTCACTACAGTGGGTTTTGGAGCTCAGTGTGGAAAGTGCTGGCTGTCTCCTCATATCAGTGTAGCTGGACCGCTTTTTCTCCAGGAATCTATTCCCTCTACTGTCTCTCCTTCTGTCTTTTTTTTATGCTAATGTTTACACTTATAAACACCCCCAGTTTTGTAAATTTCTTATCTCGCCACCCTCCTTCTTTTCCACTTCGTCTCTCTCTCTTTTCACTGCTCCGTCTCTTTTGCTCACCGCTCTTTCCTGCTCAGGCCTCTTTTTCTCTTTTCTCTAAGGCTATTTCTGTTTAGCCATGAGGGCCCCCCTGTCGTTTACAGAAACGCATCTGAAGCTCTCTTTCCTACTGAACCCACACACACACACACACACACACACACCGCAGAAGCTCTCGGTTAAACAGTCATGACGAAGAGGGCCACCGCACATTCACAGCCACACACACATGTAACATTGAACGAACCTCCCAGCGGTCTAGTGTGGCTTGAGAACAGGGTTTTCATGAGTTATTTAAGTGCTCTCCATCATGCGTGTTGCGCTGCAGCTCACACTGACATGACACGGCCCATTTCCTCCGCTCAGGCTAGAAACGTGACACAAGACACGCTTGCGGTGTTCACACAGAGTCGAGCAGAGAGGTACACAATCTGTCATGATCTTAGGACGGTTTAAATCATTAAATGTGTCCCTACGTAGCAGCCATCATGAGGCTATAGAGATAGGATGATGACTTGGGACACTTGTTTTCTGGCTCTCCGCTGCAGTCTGTTCTCTGCTGGGTCACATCAGATCAGAATTGTTGCAAAAAAAACGAAGCAATTCTCATTTAAAAGTGTCCCAACGTGGGCCCCCTATCAGACAGGAAACACGCTCGAAGGAGGGAGGATGTGACATCTGGACTGACCACAATGTGCTGCAGGCCCGAGTACCCACAAACACATTCTCTGAACATTTTACATTAGCAGTCGCTCAGGCTCAAAACAGTCGCACAGTCAATACATCACTATTAGTGGTGAAGGACAAAGGTAAACCCCCCTGCTACACTGACTGCACAGATATCTAATGGAGGGAGTGACACATAGGATTAATATGAAAGCGAGACTATATGGTAAGGACTGCTCTGCTTTGTCTCAGCTTTTGCACCATTTGAGTCTCACTTTTTGTTTGATTTTACCCTTTACTGTTCTTGTCATATTAAGCAAATGCATTTATATCTTTTGATGTTTTTTTTGTGTACGTATGTGTGTCTTGGCATGCAAGCTACACTCGCTGATGATGTGATTGTCATGAAATAAGCTGTGAGTGTGTTTTGATTGCAACGGCACAGCTGGACTTGGCAGACTTGGCAGTCTTGCGCACTTGGCTGCTGGCCAGTTCAATACAATTACAATTACCCACTGTGGGAGCATGGAGCACCACAGAAGATGGGGTGTGGGTGCTGGTTGGGGCACAGAGGGGAGGTAATTCACAGTTTCTGGCAACCGGCATTTGCTTGGGAGGAGTGTCGGTGTCTGAGCTGTTGCCTTGGCCGCCGTGGCTAACATTTCACAGTAAGAGTCTTGGAGAACACAGCGGGGTTGATGGGCAAACAGTCGTGCAACAGGAGCTCATGTACTGCGCATGCACGTGAGACGAGGAGCGGTCGGCTTGTGAAAGGGCGATTACGGCCGCCTTTTCTCCCGACTCCTGTCCGGAGAACAGAGCAGCAGGTGGATGAGAGCAGCGGAGAGGTTGTGGGAGCGATGCGCTGACAGATGGGGAGGGAAGAGGGCGATGAGCCGAGGATGCGGTGACACCGACTGCAGAGGCGACGGGGAAAAGTGTTTGGAGAGAAAGTTTGTAGGATGACAGAGGAAGCATAGGGAGGAATGCCACTGCTTGCTCCCCCGCCTCTGCTCCCTCTCTTTTCTTCTTTTCTTTTGTCCCCCTCAGTAGGGATGGGAGGGTGGGATAACTTCAAATGACAGTGACAAGCTTGCCACCGCTTCTATGAGGCACAGCAGATGGAAGTGTGTTTTTGTGTGTGTGTGTGTATGTGTGATTAAAATGCCACTGGAGACCAGGGTATACCGAGTCTCTTGGCAGCGCCACACTTGGCAGAGCGCCACCTCACTGCCCTCTTTTTCCAGCCCAGCAGAGTGGGCACTGAGGTGTGTGCGTGTGTGTATTAAGTGAGGGGAGGCAGTCTCAACAAACAAATATTAATTCACAGTGTTCCCATTGTCGGTTCCATTATATCTTTTCTTCAGGGGGGCGAGCAAGCTGGATGGCCTGCGTGGCTGTTTTTTCATTCATCTATTCGAGTAATTCAGTAATGTAATGATCACAGGATTTTTGAGAAACAGAGCTCTGTTCTGCAGTGTGGCGCCAGTCCTGGCGGGCATGGGGGAATTAGTCAGGAGACAGTGGGTTTGGCACCGTGCCACGGTTATTAGCCACTCACAGGGTGGGCACGGGCTTATGCCCCGACTCAATCACTCACTGTGTTTGCATTTGTGTGTTTAATGTGTTTGTGTGTGTGTGCGTCTAGCGTTTGAGTCAGGATTCTCCTCTGGTCACACTGACCTTATTGTGCAGTCACTCCTGGTTGATTTGTACCCTTTCCAACACATTCCTCTCTCTGAAAGGCTGAGAAACGGGCTGTTAACCCCCTCTTCCCCCTTCACTCTCCATCTCTTTCTCTCCCTCTCCCTCTCTTACTTTCTCTTGTCTTACCTCCGGATGGGTTTGATTTAGTGACTGTGGTTTTCCATCCAGAGCCTGGGAGCCAGAGAGAGTAGACTTAGGGAGAGACCTATAGATTCACAGCCAGCGGAGCACGTCATTACTTGGCCATAGCTCATCAGCAGATACATCAGCAGGCTGGAGCGCTAATAGATGCAAGCTGTCGCCGTTCAGGAAGTAATAAACCTTTCTTCATTTCATGCCCTTAATTATTTCCTTCTCACAGATTGCATGAATTGCACTAAATGATGACAGCAAAAAAGTATCTGGCTGGATCATACGGTATATGCAGGGCTTCGATTCTCATCCGTCACGCAACGCCATCGGGGAGGCAGCTGATTTCTGAAGTTCCACGTTTACAGTGACCCCAAACACCCAGTCGGAGTCACTAAATATCCCAAAACATAAAGAATTTTAGCGACAAGAGGGAGTCCTGTAACAAGGATGAGGCCACACCTGATCTTAACATCATCACGTTAGTTAGAGATTACATGAAGAGACAGAAGCAACCCTAAAGAACTGTGGCAAGTTCTCCCAGATGTTTACCTGCAAAGTACCTTGAAAAAGTAAACCTGGAAGAATTGGCACTGCTTTAAAGGCAGATGGTCATTATACCAAATCTTCCCTTTTTTCTATTCGGTGCAAAACCTCCTCATTGCATTGTGTTTGAAACATCTTTTAAAAACGTTTTTAATGCCTAAAACTTTTGCACAGCAGCGTATATAAAATTCAAGTTGAATTCCTCTTTTGGACTTATTTAGGCTGCTTCTCAATGTGAGGTCAGTGTGGAGCAGTGAGGTCAGATTACAGACCTGTAGTAGCTCTGAGAAAGATGACCACTTAGTGAGAAACCTCCAGGCTCTGACCTCCGACCTCCCATTCACCAGGAAACAGGTGTTCAAGCAGGATTAAGTCTCGACTGTCTGCACACTCAGAGCTGGCTGCAAGCTGCGTTGTGTATGTTTTGGTATCTCCCTCTTTCTATGCACGGCAGATGGAGAGATACGGGGAAATCTGACAATGTAATACAAGAACAACACAACAAACTAGAGCCTCAAATGAACCGGAGTTGAAATCGGTCCACATTTGGAAATGAGTGAAAAGTGAAGATGCTTTATGGAGATGATAATGTATGGATAAAAACCACAGTTTAATAACTGAGCAATAT